ACTATCAGCCGATGTGGACTCTGGTGGGCGCCGGCATTAAGACACTCGACGAATCGGGTCGTCCGATGGCTAAAGTGATGCCCAAAGGTGTCAAATGGATCAAAGACAGGGCGATGGCCATCGAGCCCGACCAGAATCGGGTGCGACTGTCCGGCGCCAACGGAACCATTACCTACGACTACCTTCTGGTGGCCGTCGGTATTAACATTGATTGGCAAAAGATTGTCGGTCTTGAGGAGGCGCTGAAGACACCCGGCGTTTGCTCTAACTATTCGGCCGAAACTGTGACCAAGACTTTGCCCGCCATTAAGGCTATGAAAGGCGGTAACGCTATCTTCACGTTTCCCAATACGGCCATCAAGTGTGCCGGCGCTCCGCAGAAGATCATGTATTTGGCCGACGCCTACTGGAGACAAGTATGGCATCCCTTTCCCCACCCTTTCATTCAATTATTTTAATTTACTTTTAATTTAGATTTTAGTTTTTGAAAAGTTTTGTATAGTTTGTGAATTTATTTAGTGTTTTAAATTGTCCTTTCATTGCATTTAAAGCCCAAAATGAACGCCAATTTAATTGTCATTAGAACCCAATGAATATGTGATTTATGATAGATTTGAGGCGTTATGTGAATCCGAATTATTTCATACATTAGATTACTTACAATGAAATAACGTTCTCTACTTAACCGGTGTTTTCACTTTTTGAGTGTCTATTTAGGTATTTTTCAAAATATATTAGATATGGAAATATCAACTAACTGTCGATTTCTATTGAAAGTATTACTTAAGATTATTGTTTAGTATTCATTGATATTAGAAATGCTATACAATTATTAATAACATTTTTATAGATCAGATAACGTATTGCATAAAAGTATGGACTTGAAGGTCGTTTAAGAGCTAAAGTCTTAAGTTAGTTCACTTTCAATACATTATTGCCGGTTATAAAATGCACTGAAATTGCACTTCAATGGGGAATGCATTAAACGATGCAATAGTTGTCATCATTTTGGACAGGGATGAGGATTATTACATAATTGCTTGTGAAATGCTATTTATAAACCGTTATATAAATACATATTGATTATACATATTGTAATTTTGTTGACATTTGTTTGGCGAGAATTTTTGATATTGTTTTAAACTTTTGGAAAGCAATATGTATTTTATTTTTAATTTTATGGTAAATTTGAGTTCAATCCAATGGATTCCCGCAATTGTCGGCATTAATATGCAAATGATTTGCAAATGTATGATAAAAAACACTTGAAAAGGGATTTTCTTTCACTACTTTAAGGATTGTTTTTCCATATCTTATACCAAGTGTTAAGAAATTTATTGATTAACATAAATGTAATTTTGTTTTTATGCAAAATCAGTAATTTCTTATCTTATAATACATTTTGTTTAAAGAAAACACATTTTTATGATTTAAATGATAGCACGGAATACGGGATAACATTAACGTAACGTTCAATACAGCGTTGGGAGTGATATTTGGAGTGAAGAAATACGCGGAATCGCTCAACAAAGTGATTAAACGCAAGAATATTAACGTGAATTACGGCCACAATTTGGTGGAAGTGGTGGCCGACAAGAAAGAGGCCGTCTTCGAGGACTTGCAGTCGAAAGAGCGAAAGCGATTCAAGTATGATATGCTTCACGTCACGCCTCCTATGAGCGCACCACCACTTGTCGCCCCCTTAGCCGACCCCCAGTCCGGGTATATGGCCGTCGATAAGGGGACACTACAGCACGTGAAGTATCCCAACATATTCGGTATCGGCGACTGCACTAACGCACCGACATCTAAGACGGCGGCCGCAGTGGCCGGACAGACGGGTGTTGTCTCACGTAATCTATACGCTGTGATGAGAGGCAAGAAACCGTACGCTCAATACGACGGCTACACCTCCTGTCCACTCGTGACCGGCGATAATAAGTGCATATTAGCCGAGTTTGACTACGATCTGCAGCCGTTGGAGACGTTTCCCATCAATCAGGCCAATGAGAGTCGTATTATGTATTACATGAAAAAGGATTTAATGCCAAACATGTATTGGTACGGATTGTTGAGGTAATTGTTGTGTCATTTATTTGCTTTTTTGGTGTATGAACTAAATTTGTATTTTATATGTTAAACACAGAGGCATATGGAATGGTCCGCAGTTTTACCGACGGGTAATGCATTTGGGAATTGGGAAATAATGTGCACACAATTGAAGGAAATGGTTGTTTAATCGACTATTCATTGTTGATTTTGTATAGCATTCATGTGTTAATCAATTGATTGAATTTTACAATTTTATGGATTTTTTAATTTTATAGATTATTTGATATTTATTGTGAGTGAGACTTAAATTTTAATTTATTGAATCAATAGTGGCTTTGTTTGCCATATATTTGACTGAAATTATTAATTTTTCAATTATAACCGCTATTTTAAAAGCAATAATGTATTTATTTTAAGATTAATTATTAATTAAATCCTCAACTTTATTATTATATACCGTGTGTTTAACACTTGATTGATGTTTCAAATTATACATTGAATTTAATAATTGTGTTAATAATGTTAATAAAGCTTTTGAGAAACGTTAGCCCAATCAAACTGGGACTCAACTCCTTTTTCATGTTATTGTAGCATAAATTGCACCTAAAAAAGACACTATTAATGCCTAAAATTACAATATGATCACTAAATCATTCTTCTCATGCCGTTTACCATCCATGCGAATGCAATTTGCTGTTGGCGTCTGCTATGCAATCATAGCATTAGTATATTGTCATCGATTAAGCTATATTGGTTCAAAAATTAAAATGGGTAAATTTTAATTGTGATCAATCCATGAATCAACTTTTTGCCAAATACTTTTGACTCATTTGAAATGTGATGGGTTTTGCAAATTTGTTGATATTAATTGATGAGTGGATTGTTTAAATCTAATTAAAAGTTTAATTCCATAGCATTCATAGTATTTTCACGGGCTATTTAAAAACAATAGTATTTAAATTGATTGGATCTCAAAATTAAATTAACTAATTGTGAAATCACTGAGAAATCTAATTGTCACTTACTTTGGAGTTTTAGTATATGTCTCGACTGAATTGTGACTAATTTATATAAACTATGTCATGCGGCGAGTGGTGAGGGCTGATAATTATGGGTATCAGGGTTCTTTTCTATTATTGTGAATTAGTATTTATTAATTAAACCAAAAACTTTACTTTAAATTAAAACTTATTTTATTCAAAAATATTAGAGACAAAACTTGTGGTGAAATACAGAGTTTTTGCACAACTTGTGCCGTTAGTGGAGAGGNACCAAAAACTTTACTTTAAATTAAAACTTATTTTATTCAAAAATATTAGAGACAAAACTTGTGGTGAAATACAGAGTTTTTGCACAACTTGTGCCGTTAGTGGAGAGGGAGAGAGTGAGTGGTCTGAGCAGTGATATCAGAGTTCTGGGTCTCAAACCCAACCTAAGAGGTGGTCATAAAAGGGTGGCTATCCTTTGATTTTGGGCGACAATCAGTCCTAACCCTATGTATGGGCTCAACAATAGTGAAGCCATAAACTGTTTTAACTAAATGTTGTTTGAAATGAAATGTAAACTAAAATATATTTCATGTTCTGACAACTAATATATTTATATAATCCTTATATATAATGTTTTATATATAATTTCAATGATTAATTTGAAGGCCAACACAAGGACTTCAATTCCGGAGAGAAAATACTCTGAATTAATATCTGGAAAATTAAAATAAAAAACATTTTATTATTGATTAATATTTATTTTTACATATTTATTACGAAATGTTTGGCAATTAGTTTATAATAATAAAGAAATGTTATGTTTTGTTTTGAATTTATTGAATGCCTTTTGTTTGTTATTAAAATTATTCTTGTTTTACAAATAATATTATTGTAAATTAAATGTAAATGTAAAATATTTAAAAATTTAAATTTAAACTAATTAGTTATAAAACTTAAAAAACTAAACATAGATTTATGTTATTCGTTAAAAACTAAATAAATTATTTTCTAATAGATAGCGATTAGAAATTTGTTTTCTATAAATATTAAATATATTTATATAATTATAATATAATGAAATCGTTTATTGGATTTATTCATAAAAAACAAACAAACTTTTGGATTTCATTCAATTTTTTAAATTTACTGAAAAGATATTTAAATCTAAATCTAAATTTTAAACAAAAACAGTAATTGTTTGATAATTCTATTGCAATACTATTTTTATTTAAGTTTTTAATATTGGCTATAATAACATTAACTTAAAAAAATAACAAAATATTCTGTCAATCAAACACATCACAACATAACTAAAAATAAACTTTTTATTATCATTTCATACGGAATAAAATGTAAACACAAAGAAATTGTTAATTTAAAAAGCAATTTAATTTACATCAATGTTTTGTGTTTAAATTTTTTAATTAAAAATAGTTTTATTGCATTTCATGTTATGAAGTTCATAATATGAACAAAAAAATCACACACAAAATCATAAAATAAATAAATTACTAATTATTACAGTATCACAAAAATGCCAGTATTTATCATAAAATACATGAGTTTTTAAGTAAAAAAGATTATAAATAATTAATTGAAATTGAAAATCATTATCAGATTTTAAAAGGAAAAGTGCAGTAAAAAGAGGGCCAAAAGTGTAGTTTGTATGTCATTATCACAAAATATCATACAATGATATTCTATGAGAAGTTTTGGTTAAAAAAGTTATGCAGAAAATCAATATTGAAAATTCAATGAAACCCTTGAAGCGAATCGCTTAACGGCTCGTCTTTCTTCCTATCCATCAATTTTCTGGTGAAGACCAGAGCGAAGAGAAACGCCACTGAATTGACCATCAAATTGATGGCCAAAAGTACGGCTAACCGATAGTCAGCGAAGACCACATAAACGATGAGTTTTGTGCCAAACGTTAATAATATGCCGAAAGCGAATGCGAGCACACATTTGAAGCTCTCGTTTGTCGTGCCTTTGATGCCGACGACAGTCAACGGAAGGGTTAGCAAAAATAGGCCCACAATAGAGCAGAGATAATACAAATGCCACGAGTGGTCGGCCACTGGTGTAGAGCCCAGAGCTGACAATTGAAAGCCGATTTCCGCCACAAACGTCAACACCTGTAACACAAGCGACACGACTAACACTAGCAATAGATAGGACTGATAGAATCGGACGGACTTTGACTGCCGGTCCACTCCTAACATAATTGGTCTCTCAATTATTTTACTTGTTTTACTCGACTATTAAATATGCTTTTGATTGTCTGATATAAACAAACAATAAAAACCATCACATTTTATACGCCATTCAAAATACAAAAGGCATCATAAATGGCAACTTTTTTTGTTGGAAACAAAAAAATCAGACAAAAAACCTGAAAGTTGTTTAACAAGTTTTGCTAAATATACACACAATTATTATACTGTACTTTATATCAGATACTCAATGTCTGGTCTATCGGTCTATGGATTCACTCTTTATTTTCTATGTATTTTAAATATCAGTTGAATGAATGTATTTGTGTATTGTTTGACGTAATCCACATTGTGGATTCCACAATACTTTAAAAGAAAACTGGTTTAAAGTCTAAATATTCTTCACTGTGTTCTCTCTCTCGTAAATCCGGCCTCATTTGAAAACGTTAGGTCAAAGGTAAGCCTTCCGTCACATTGTGTTA